ATTGGCTCATTAAGGCTTATTTAGTTTTTATACTATATAATATATAAAAATATCATTTATTTGTATAATTTATATGACATTCTTGAACATATCATATGTTATATGGCTTATAAATCAAATAAGTCCAATGGGTGTAGAATAAGCCTAATCGAGCCGGCTCAATTCGGAACACTGTTCTTTAGTATCAGCCTTACAAGAGAGATAAGTCATATAGGCATATCGGTCACATAGAAGGGGTAGATCATATAAGTTAGACTAGTTATAATTGGTTTTATTATTTATTATTTTGGTTTAAAAGCATATAATCAGACCATTTTCTGCTCTTCTATAAATATATTGACCCTATGGCTTTTGCTTGGTTCATTATCTCGACTGATTATGGATAATTGTATTATTTTGTATTTGTTTTGTTTGTTTAAGGTAGATTTTTATTATCTCAGCGAGAGGAACTTGTCACATGATATTCGTGCCTTACTTTCGCCAAATAAAAACGCCTCTTTCGATAGAATTCCATAAGATTTGACGATGGAATCACCTTTTTTCAGGTCACAATATTTAAGAGACATGTTTGTACAACACTGCGGCATTAAATCTTTTCTTTACACAAAAAATGAAATTTTCAATTTTTGGAATAATTTTAACACTTTTCGTAGCAATCGTGTTCGTTATTGATGCATCAAAGTTAAGAAAAAGGGATATTCCGAATACTCCGTGTCATATTAAAGTAGTCTCACCTGGTAACGGAAATATCTATCATCATGGGCACACTCACAAGGCAATTTGGAGACCTTATCTTTGTAAGGGTGCTTTGAGCGGTAATTTTTCTTTAATTTTTATTTTATTATTATTATTATTTTTTAATAATATTTTTTAGATTAAAAAATGATTAATTATCTGTGGAAATGAACAGTCGAAGCGACGATCAGAGTGATTATTATTGCCAGCTCAAATAGTACTGACACACATTTAAAAGTATTCGACGAATCAACCGTAAGTTCTTAATTAAATAAATTAATCATTCTAAATTAAAATGTACTTGACTTTTATATTATGTAATTTCTTTATTTTTTTATTTTTTTTTTCAGACATTTGGAGCTACAGGAATACAGTTTACTGTTGGTGAAAATTGGCCATCCGATGATTATGAATATGTATTATACGCTTTCAACGTCGATGTTATAGAAACTTTTGGAGAATCAGGTGTCTTTGTTATTGATGATAATAAGGAAATGAAAACTCATAATGATTCCATGCGATATTGAATTATGGTATTACTACATATATATATATAGTTTGAGATTATTTTGGGGTATAACAAAAATCAAAATATATGTACGATTTTTGGTTGACTCAAATCAAATTTATTTATTAAGTTAATGATATAAATTATTAGAACCTTTATTTTTTATTTCAAATCAAGAAAATCAAGAAATTAAAAGTTTGGTTTAGTAACTAAACATGAAAAAGTGATACTGTATGTTAGGACAAAAAATGATTATAATAGTGAAGTCCTTCAGATCATAATACGTAATAAGATTTTCATCAAAGTTGTCAATATCAGATATTTGATAAAAATATAAATTATCCACGTGATAGGTTAATACTGTCTATATTTTTGAAGCTTAGACTAAACCGTGAAAATTATCAAAAAATAGACTGAAAAAACTTTACGTTTATGTACACGCTCGATATTGAGCATCGCTTTTTTTTTATTGGCATTTAACGTTAAAGGTTAATATTATAGTTCACAATCCCTAAGATCTTGTCAACAATATTTGATGTATCAAAGTCATATTTGCACGACCTTTCGATTTAGATCGTGATCACGTGCTATTGGTTAAAACAAATCCGGTGCTGCTCACTTCACCGACAATCATTTCACCGAAAGTTCACTTAGCCGACATCACATAGGGTTAGGATTAACG